ATTTATGCGGCGAAAGTGCGGCATATTTGAAAAAATGCGGCCCCGCATAAATGTGTGGACTTTGGCTGATTATGCATTGAATTATGCGATCGCATAACCGCGTTTTTCTGGAGGGACTGTATTATAATATGCATAACTATGTTTTAATTAGTCTATAATCACCTGAATATAGGAATCCTGTTCACGGGTCACCTTCCATGGAGACCGCCATGTTGAAGTACCATGTTTCCACAGTAGCCCAGAAGTGACAAACCAAACAAGTGCTCTAGATAGGGGCCTTTTGGGGCCACTGTAGTTACTCCTTTAAGGACTCATTCATCGTTAGCTGAACTTTGGCTTCAAATTCTTGTGTGTTTTGTATTGGTGTAATTACTCTCACTGCCAAAGGGGGAGACACATTTTCACTGCAGGTTTAAAGCAGGGAATAAGGGAATTGTATAAAGTAGCAAAATAATGTCAAAGAAATAATGCGGAAGAATGAGAAACCTATAAAAAAATAACACACCATAGCAGATTAGTATTCTAAAAACTACAATTGGTATACTCGGGAGGTCAATAAGTTGAACTTAATTTATTATGCCAACAGCATTTTAGTTTTTTGTTTTTTGTCTTTTGTCAGTGGTGCCTTCTTCGATCTCCAGCACATCCACAGTATGAACAATCCAGTCTGTCTTTAATGACCACAATCACAGAAAAAAACACAGAATTGATTTTCTTCCACCAGTTCATCTACACATGTGTCAGTAAGGGTCAGAGAAGTCCTGATTTGCCATTAGATTTGATAAGTGTGAATGAGCTTCCATTGACAGGTGATTTGGGCATTCAACCTTCAAGAGACCTTTAAACTCAATACATGTTCAAGTGTGGAACAAATCAAACTGTTCAAATAAGCTGTCGTATGGCCATCAGTGTGAAAAATTTACTTTTTTTCTCTTTTCTCCCTAGAGTGCAGTGTTCTGTTGGTTTCTGGGGAAATTGCAAATACATAGTTAATTAGCGCAACTTAGATTTGTTTTACTTTCCATGCTGGAAACCGCTGGCATTGTTCTAAGAACATATACACTGTGATATTTTCCAGTTGTTTAGATGGAACATTTGTAGCTTTGGTTTGTTGTTTGATGATAATATTTAGGGCTTCATGGTTCTTAGTTTGAAACCCAAAATACTAAAATTTACTCTGAAAGATTGCAGTATCACTGAAAGTATCACTAGTCATAAACCACCAGAGATCACCAACTGAGGGGCAAAAGGAGCTGCAGTCTCACTGTACATTTTAAACTTCATGGGAATTCTTTGAACTTTAATGTTTTTGAAGAGTGGCCAAATAATATCTGTCCTGTACTACGCTATTAAATTTTTTTTTTCAGTTCCCACATTACCCTGACTTCTTTGGTTCCTCAAATTTCAGGAGTGATAAAAGGGCTACCAAGCCTTTTTGTAACCAGGTGACTTAACTCAATCAGCAGTGGTGATGCCCGTTTTCACAGAAACATAAAGACAAGTGCTTTCAAAGCTCTTTTGAAAAGAAACACATTACACCAAATAACTGCCGGCACAAAACAAAATAAAGAAAAGGCTACCAACATCTGCTAATGTTGCCTCAAGTTCATAATACGGGTTCAAGATTCTCTGCTGTGAAGGATTTCAACGAGGGAGGTCTAATATGTGTCTGCATGTGTGTGTGCGCTGGTTTTCTGCGATAAGGAAGGCCAGAGGTGTTTGACCCCTCATGACCTCTGCAGTGTTGGTGGCATTAAGCTGTCTGTAAAGAGAAATACATTTGTCTTCTGTCTGCGTGTGTCAGTCAGATAAGCTCTGACCTCACACATACCTGCACAAGGTTCCTGTCTGTCACATTCTTTGAGGTGAACTTTATATGGCTCAACAAAGGAGTAATTGTGAGAATCTACATTAACAGTCCCCTGTGAGTCTGACTCACACTCACACACACACACACACACACACACACACACACACACACACACACACACACACACACACACACGGCTTTGCCTTTCACCTTGAGTTGTTCCGGTTTGAATGGTTGCACCAGTAAGAAAAGAGTGAATCATTATAAACACTTTATGACCCTCTCACATGCACACACACAGAGCATGGTGTGGGGTCTTCTTTCCTGTGTTACATATTTGAAAGAGAAGAAGAAAAAACGCAAAGAAACAGGCCAATGTAGCCTGAAGCTGACCAAAATAAAGCTATAGTTTATGGTCTCTGAAAGAAGAACTTCAGCAAAGGAGACAAATCACACAAAACAAATTAGTATGCAAGTCTTTCTATTTTGTTTCTATTTATCCAGGACACTGAAAAGGATGGGGTTTAAGTGCCTTGCTCAAAAGTAATTAAAGAGCAATGTTACAACCTTCCTAGTAATCTATTACTACAATGAACACACACTACTTTTCCAAGATGTGTAACATTATTTTTCTCTCACTACCTTTTTCGCTCTATCTCTATCATCTCTTGAAAGTTTCTAAGAGTCCCATATCTCAGTTATAGGTGCTTTAAAAGGCTTCTGTTTCTTTATAATTTACACATACACACTCTTACAGATGCTTACTGTCTCTGACACACACAGAAAATCTTATACACACAGTGGGTGTTTTTTTTGGCTTGTCCGAAGCCCTGGCCTCTCTCCCAGACGGTGAACTGCAACCCAGTTTTTATAACTGCAGCCAAATGGGTCAGAGCACTAGATGTGTACTGGTATTGATTTCACACAACTGACATCACCCGTGCATGTTTAAGTAACAGTAGCCAGAAATTAAGTAACCACACACACACATATACAAAGACTAGCTAGACAGTAAAACAAGATCTGAGATGACGGGATGCCCTGCATGTGGCATGCTTGTGTGTGTGTGTGTGTGTGTGTGTGTGGCCATGATCTTTTTGTGTCTCCCATGAACAGATTTTGGCCAGATCAGTACCACTGTTTGAATTTCCACTAAACACTAAAAAGACAAATGGAGATGGTGATAGAGACTCCATGCTAAAGAATTGCCTAAAAAGCAAGGCAGTGTATACAGACACACAAAGATAGGCATCTGAGTCAGTGTTTAAGCAAACACAGTCGTCTCTATCACTCCTCAACTTAAGGCTCCCTCAGAAGGAACTTAAAAGTGAGGATTCAAAGGAGTGGTGAAGAATTCAACTCAAGGGAAAAAATGGCTGCACACTGCGCCCAATCAGGAGCTTTCAAAGATCAAAGATACTAAAGTGCTGAGAGGCAAGACAGACAGGCAAGAGTCCAATTTCACATTATGGGCATACTTGCACACATGTACACAGAAAAAACAAAGACTTGAAAATAAATGAAAAGATGAAGAGAGGAAAGCAAGTGCCAGGATACTAACAGCAGAATCCAGTGAGACACAATAAAGAAAAATATATAAAAAATTATATAATATAAAACTCTTAAGCATGTTTTATGTAACATACTCAAAATGTATCATCATTACCACATTAATCACAATTAATCCATCTACCATAAACAAATTGGACCACAACTGAAAAGTCTGTTTCTCTCGTCCGTGTACTTTGTACTATTATGTTAAATTTAGCATGACTTTTGCTGAATTGTTTTACAGTACAACTGGCGGGGAGCGGCACCAGAAAGGGCACTAGAACCCAAACTGGGCGAGCAGGCAACGGAACCGGTCTTAGCAGCCTCTACGGACAAAATGGCAGAGGCGAAGAGACCCAAGACGACGATGACGGAGGAAGCTAAGTAGAGAAATAGAGAGAGTGCCAGAGCAAGAGGCCACCGGAGTAAATCTCTGACTGTAATGTTAGCTTGCTTGCTATGTCGTGTTGCACGTGCTTGATGTCTAGTTTTTGATCAAAAGTGTAATGTAATCATAACAAATGCATGTGTACTGCTGTCCACATTTATGACAGTGGTGTATAATTCTTAAGTATAAGAATTGCACTCTGAAACTGTAGTTTTTCTTGCAGAATGCTTTAAGCCTATGGTTTAACTGTTGCCCTACATGAAGCAGTTAGATGAAATCTATTGATTGCTGTAGAGCATGGATCTCATCCGCTTAGAGTAAACTCTACTCAACAAAATGACATCAAAAAGACATGTATGTCAACATATAGATATTAATATCTAAGATTTATACATGGGAGCTAACCATCTGAATAAGGTACACACTCATTATTACCTGGATTTCAATGGAAGTGAATCAATGTCATTTACTATGTTTCTAATGGGTCCTTCACTGAATCTCTGACATACATAATCAAATGAAGCAATATGTTATACTGTAATAATCTTAAAATATGCATTTAATTCCAGAAAAAAGGCATACTTCAACCTAAGAGGTTATCATCTGGCAACAGCTGTAACACACTTAAATAAACCACTGCATATGTACACTCATTTCAATATGAATCCCTTCATACTGTATTATTGTAGCATCAATTCTATATCTATTTACCACCCCTGATGTGCATTGCCATAATTACTCATACTCAAATTCCACGACAGATTATCATTTAAACAGTAAAACATTAAGTTTGTATAACTTTTGTCCTATGTCAGAGGTCAAATCAATGTATTATGTGCAGAATTGAAATTTATTTTTTATGAGGGGGAGGGCTTTATTTAATCTGTATCAGAAATGCACGTTTCCCTTTAAAATCTGTGTGTTTGTGTGTGTGCGAGAGAGCGTGTATGTCAGGAACCAAGGCTCAAACATTGAAACTGTTTTGTACAGCTAAAAGGGAAGTTTTTTTTTATAGTTTGTAAAAACCTCACATTTTCTATGTGATCTCCACCCAAGAGAGAGGTGCTCCAAATAAACACCTGATGAGCTTTAATGACAACTCTAACAGCACCCTGGAGCACCCACTTAAATACAGCACGTATATTTTACACACCTTACACAAGTGATCTTTTAAAGGTTATTCACCAAGGTTTTTGGTGCACTCAATACTGCAGCATCACAAGTCCATTAGGACACCACATCCTGCCTTACTTCTCTTTGAGGAAGTCCACCACTCTTCTGAAGTCATCGATGCAGTACTCTCTTTTCATGTCCATCAGGACGCTGTCTGAGGCCGACTGCACAGGAACATGGAGGAAGGCATAGACACGTGGATGATTCAATATCTTAGCCATCTCCTAATGAGTAAAAGAGAAGACAAAAACAAAGAAAAACAGAAATGAAACGGTTAGAGTTCTCATAGGTATGGAAAAGAAAGGCAAGTCAAAATCACTTTGGAGTTTGTTTGCATGTTACAGATGTTAGTCTGAACTGATGTTGCTCATCTGTTTGCCTAAAATGAGATGGAGAAAAAGCCACTTTCCCGTTGACGGCCAGTGTAATTGTGAATTTTAAAAAACGTTACAAACTGACAAATATCAACAACAAAAATTGTCATTTTTGGACCATTCAAGATTTGTTTCATCACGTGGACAAATATCTTTATCAATGTTGTTGTTTTTTGGAGTAAATAGGGGGTTGTCTTTGCTGTAACCTCCAAAACCCTCACAAAAACCAAGGCACAATACCTTAAGGTTCTTTGTCTTTGTTTCACTGCACTCAAATTTAGTTAAGGTACTCTGCCTTTAGCATGTTAAACAGTAATTTCACTTTGATGCGCAACAAAACCAAGGCAGAGTACCTTAACTCAATTTGAGTTGGGTTGACTCTGACTGGGTTAAGGCTCTGGAGTTAGTGTTATGCCATTATATTACATAAGCATAACACTGTACCGAAGCATTTCACACACACACACACACACACACACACACACACACACACACACACACACACACACACACACACACACACACACACACACACACACACACACACACACACACACACACACACACACACACACACACACACACACAGGCTTGAATACAGTTTTAAAGCAAAAAGTGTTGGAGCTAGCTGTTTGGAATGACTCATTGTTCTCAAGGTAAAATGTTGGTGGAGATTGCGTTAGGCTACCAGAAAGACAAAGATAACCAGGCAATCTACTGAAAGTACTTGTTAGCCATCTTAGGCTAACTACTTGACAAACAAAACCAAAGTGCCAGCCTAATTGTGCTATGATCTCTAGATTTGATATAGATGTTGTCATAATTATCATATACTGATTGTATATAGTGATCAGATAACTGAGTGAGTGATCAAGTATAAGTTAATTCCTTTTGCTTTAGCATATTATTAAGACAATACAAAAGCAGACAACCTTAACTTCCAAAAAAAGGTCAAGTTTGACCTCAAGATTCTTTTCTAGATAAAAATAACTTAAATTTTAAAAACAAAGAATTGCCACATTTCCAATATTCTGCATGCAATTCATTTAGTTGGACAACAAAAACAACCTTTAAAGTCATTTTTCTCAGTTTCACACTCTGGCGAGTTAAGGTCTCGTATTCTGCCTTTATAGAGCAGTGTACGAGTGTTTGAATATCAATATGAAACCAAGCAAATGAGAAAATCGCTTTGGGTAAGCTGTATATTAGTGTCATCACTTGAAACATGATTAACCAACTCTTAAATTAGTAGGTCTGTTTCAATTAGTCTTAAAGAAAAACCTAGGATATGTTAGCCATGGGAGTCGTGTATCTCAGACCAAAATATAAACTTTTTATATGACCATGAGGTTTAGTAACGCAAACATAAAAGAAAGAAGGAAGCAAAATCTCACAGTAGGCTCTGGTTAATGGCGGCTGCTGGCTGTGAATAAATGAAGGTTCCATCAACATTCCTGTTTGTTTCTGCACTCATTCCGCTCCAGACCATCTACAATAGACTGCCTCTTTCTCTTATTTTCTATCTCTCTTTTTGGCAAAATACAAGAGAACCAGCTCAGAGAACTCATCATGTACCCACTACATCCAAAGTCAAAGAGTCAAGGCTCTGCCAGCAGCTGTTCTTTGTATCTAAAAAGTCAAGAGTTTCTACTGAAGCATCCAGGTCTCAGCTACACCTCTGATCAAAATGGTGAGAGGAAAAAAGAAACATACGTGAGGTTTATAGCCGAAGATAGACAGGAAAGGGGGGGCAGAGAGAGGGGATGACACGCAGCAAAGGGCCACAAGTCGGATTCGAATCCTGGGCCGCTGCAGCAAGGACTCAGCCTCGGTACACGGGACACCAGCTCTAATAACTGAGCTAACTGGGTGCCCCCAGAAAGCAGGTTTTAATTAATGAAATGCTAATCTTACACATTGACCTAAGGTAAATGCCACCATCAGATACTCATCAGCCTGTGATGTTCAGTACATTCCAGGAGATGTATGAGGTGAAGTCTATAAGTGAAGGAAATAAATCATTCATGATCCGTAGAAATACAGACGAAACAGATTATCAAGAATAATAAACTTCATGGAATTCAAATGGGTGGTGAAATCTGGGTTTTTCCAGTAGCAACCCAGGACTGAGAGTCATGTGTCCGCTTTTAGACTGTTACTAATAACATAAGAGTGACATTCTGTGCTTTTTGATACGTTTTTTAAATTAGGAGAGTTGAAAAGGGTTTTTGTTTTTCTTTCATTCTTACTTAAATTTCCTCAGTCAAAGAACTGGAGAGACCACAGATGTCAGACTTTTTCTGACAGGCATAATCAGGATGCTATCATTACCATGCTAATCACCACAAGAAGGAGAAAGAGAAAAAGAGAGGAGTGGAAGAAATGATTTAATGATTTCCTACAAGAATATGCTGATTGCAGTCCGTCTTCTCAATTAAGATCTATTGTACAATGTTCCCTCCTTCATACACAGACAAAAGCACACACACACACACACACAAACACAGCTCAGTTGCAGTGCACCACAGGGGGTTGACCACTGGAAGCTCCAAATTAGAAAGAATTAATTTGGTTGGAAAATGGAGCTTGATTGGTGAGAGAAATCTCTGTCCAAAGCTCTGTATGTGTGTGAATGTGTGACAGACAGTGTGTGAAAGAAAAAAATGTGAAGGAACATTTATGACCGTTTTTAAATGATTTCAAAAGGTAAAAGAATAGCAAATTGATTACAGTATGTGTTATTTCTAAGTTCTTAGAAGTTACTCCTCTGATAATGTTGCTGACCGCAATAGAGCCCACAGATTGTGTGTTTGTGTGTGTGTGTGTGTGTGTGTGCAAGCATGAATGTGCATTGCAAGGGTGAACAGGGTCTGAACAGATGCCATGCTAGCTTCAATAGCAGGGCACTGCTGATGGCAACTGGGGATTAATCTATAAGGGGAGGACTTTTCATTCAGACAAGCCATTTATCATGCGTGTGCGTCTGACAGTGTGCGTCCCATCCTCCAATGATTATACAGTACACTGATATGAATCTCTTTTGTTACTGATCCCTGTGGAGTTGAGGCCTTTTCCAATGTTTGACTGCTGCTGACAGACAGTTTAGTGAGTCTGAAGTGAAAATGACACTGTGATGAGGAAGATATCGCTCAGCAGTGCCCGGTGGCAAAAAATTGAAGTGCTGCCTTAATGCCTCTGCTCTTGTGTGGATGATCCAGCTCAGAGCAGGATTCAACAAGCTTAAATAAACCAATAAATAATTAGTGCAAGTGGGCTTTTATTTGTTGTTGTTTTTCTTCTTTCTTGACAGTGTTTAAAAGGAGCCTAATATTTTTTCTCGCTCTCGTGCCGCTTTCTCCTTCCCCCCGCCAGTACTATCTCTCTCATTCACATGAACAGATGCACAATCCTTTCATCTTTGGTTGATCAGCTCAGATAGACACATAAACCAGAAAGTATCCATCTTAATGGGCTTAGCTAAAAGGATCTAATATCTACCCCATAAAATCAGATACGACAGAAAAGAGCCTATATAGAAAAAAAGAGAGAAAGTGCAGATAAAACGTGGTTTCGAGCTCACTCTGAGGTTGGTGCTCTCAATTGCTTTGGTTTATTATTTTGACTGTCATGGGTTAGGGTTAGCAGGAGGGATCAGTTCAGTGTAACTTAGTCTGTCCATAACCGATACTTAACGTATTTATAATTATTTATTATAAATATATAAAACTGAGAGTAACACTATTGTCAAAACATCACCAAGTGTCAGAAGTCATTGTGTAAACATCTTAATATTTAATTAATATAAATAACTATATTAGCCAGTAAAAGGGTTAACACACTGCTGCTGGTTCAGACATTGAGGAAAGAACTGACTGATAGTATAGTAGTATATATACAGCTTTACGGCACTAAAGAATCAAGACAGCAAATTTGACATGAGAGAGATTGCAGAATGTGGAATTGAAGAAATTAGATCTAATACTTTAACAGAACTGAACGAACTGAACTGTGACTTAATTAAGTATGTTATTCGGGTGTGGTACACTAACACTGGAAAGATTACAAAATGAAGTCTCCTTATTAATCGCCAACATGCCAACACATTTGGAGTGTGCAGTTGGACACTACTGTTGACAATACAGTCTTACACTAAATGTTAAAGTAGTGCACTGCCAATATTATAGTATAATATATAGTATATGGCACATTGTTTATCTTTATCATTTATCACTGTATAATATGGAATAAGGACACGTTGGAGATTGCATCATAACAACACACCCAAACACAGCTGGAATCCCCAGAGTGCCAACACGCAGACAGAAAGGGTTACAGTCTGGTTCAAGTCAACGTTCTGAATCAAACCCATAATAAGTAGCATCTAACTGCATTCTCACACACACTCACAGACGTATACACAAACCCACACATAACATATTAACAGGGTTCACCCAGGGGAGTCTGCAGATAAAATGATTCTACAAGCCGTTCCCAGGATAATAAGTCAGGTCCCTGTGTGTGCACTGGCACACACAAACACACAGTTGGTGGGAACTGTATTCAGCAGCACATAGAGGAACTGAGCTCCCAATGGTATTAAACATTTCAAACACTTCAGGCTACACTCGATTTTCCCTGGAGGTTATACTGAGCCTGCAGCACCTCACACAGTGAAGATAAAATCTATGTATTGCACAGTACAGTACTTACCACTCAAAGGGAACAACGCTGTCGTTTTTAATTTACAAAGCCATCCTTAATAAGTTACCTTTTTTAATCATCACTTTTAAGACTTACGAATACTGTACTCATCCACAGTAATACATCACTTTTAATATCCAATTTATGCA